ATAGTTTGAAATTGTGACAGCCAAACAGGTTAAACTTTGACACGTGGTTATCACCCCCCCCCCCAAAAAAAAAAAGTCTAACTTGGATGAGGCAACAGACTCCTGGGGCATCAAGGTGGAGAGAGTGGAGATCAAGGATGTGAAGCTGCCGCAGCAGCTGCAGAGGGCCATGGCGGCCGAGGCGGAGGCCACGCGGGAGGCCAGGGCCAAGGTGAGCAATGGCGGGTGGGCGGCGGTCAAAACAGGGGGGGCCAGGCTGTCAGCGGGAAACGGGACGCAGTGTGCTGCTGTATGAGGGGGAGATGGCAGAGATGGCAGAGATTTGTATTACTGCTTTATCAATTGACTGATAAGTTTAGTTCGTGCTTTTCCACATGCGCTTTCGGGTTGCAGACGGTTGGTTGCGGTAAGTGCATGTATACAGCAGTAATACTCCACCAGACCAGCAGATGGCAGATGTATTGCAGCAAACATATACAAACAGAGTAGTGAAATAGGTAAATTTATATATAGTAGTGAAATAGGTAAATTTCAATTCAACCTGGTTGATTGAAATTGAAATTAACCTGAAATTCTCACACATGAGCGATTGAAGATAACCAGTCAACCACTGATTTTAAAATGTTTTTGCAGATTAATATTTTGCAATATTTCTTAGATAAGTGCCTAGAAAAATGCTGACGTACAGCCCAGAAACTGTTTGCATTAATTATCACCATTACAGCTCATTCTAGGATGGACCCTGATGTGTATTTTGCCCTCTTTTGTTCCCTGTCTAGGTGATTGCGGCAGAGGGTGAGATGAACGCTTCACGGGCGCTGAAGGAGGCCTCACTGGTTATTGCTGAGTCACCATCTGCGCTGCAGCTGCGCTACCTGCAAACTCTCAACACCATCGCTGCAGAGAAGAACTCCACCATCATCTTCCCCCTGCCCATGGATATAATAGCTCACTTCATAGACAAGAAATGAGCACGCCCCTCTGCTTCACCAGCAAATCAGGAACAGGAAGTCCATCTGGATTTGACCAATCACCATCAAGTATAATTACTTTGAGTGTGTGGACTTTCTCTGGCTGCGGGATTTCGGTTATTTAAACATGAAGGCTTGTCTCATGATTATCTAGACTAGATTTTTAATGGAGCTTGGTATTTGTCGTGATTTACGAATTTAAGAGACAAAACTGAAAATACTCTGCATTTGTAAATTATATGTGCCTATGCTGCCCTGCAGATGAGAAACCACTGTGAATGTTAATTTGCTCTTTATGTAAAATGATATAGTTTTAAGCATTTTTACTTCTTTTAATTGAATTAAAATGTTGGTAAATGGGAATTAAGCCTGTCTTATATGCCACTGGATATTTATAACCAAAGAGATAACTGGCATGGTTTGATAAAGAATGTAATAAATTTATGCTATAACTATACATGACAAAGTGCATCTGATTCTAATCTAACATTCTTGTATACAGCACCAGTCAAAAGTTTGGACACCTACCCATAGAAAGTTTTATTTGTACTATTCTCTACATTTTAGAATAATAAAAAGATCAAAACTATGTAATATATGGAGTTAAGCACTGACCAAAAAAGTATTAAAAAAAATGTAATTTATTGGGGGGGGCAGCTCTGTGAGTTGGTCGCTGGTTCAAATCCCTGGGTTGGTGGAGTGGTGCCACCATAGTCCCTTGAGTGTGGACCTTAACCCCAACTGCTGTCTCCTCTACATGAGTGGCCTCCTGAGATGCTTTTCCATCTGTCCTGATGGAGCTCCCACATATGCTGAGCTCTCATTGGCTGCTTTTCCTTCACTCTCTGGTCAAACTCCTCCAAAACCATTTCTACTGTGGTTAGGTTAGGTGGACAGGTCTTGAGATGTGGTACTATATCACTCTTCTTTGTGGTCGGCTTGGTGTGTCCAAATTTTTGATGGGTACTGTATATTTTTAATGAATAGACAGGGTGTTTTTGTATACTTTTATGGGACTGAAATAAAATACCAATACACAGGAAAAACCTTTTTGAGTAAATAGCAACTGTAGGTAAAATAGTTCTTTTCTGCATTTGGCAGTGGAAAATTTCCACAGGGATCATCTTCAGTGGTACAGTACCTGTGAAAGCTCAACCTCACACATCAGACTATACAAGAAACCAAGGTGAATAATAATGTTTTTATAAGGTCTATCGTGGCCTCTGCAGTCTTATGGAAGCTTTGGGACGGGGAATGGGAGACGGACACCTTAGCGGGCATCTCACCTGCAGCCTGAGCATCAGTGTCGGCAGTCAGCCACAGGTAACCACAGCCACGGGTAACCACAGCCACGGGTAACCACAGCCACAGGTAACCACAGCCACGGGTAACCACAGCCACAGTAACATCCAGCACAGAACCGGCTGCTGAGGCCAAAATGCAAGAGATTTAGCACCATTTGTTTGCATGTGGACTGCAATGGAAGACTGTGATGATCATGCCCTTAACTCTGCTGAATATTTTTATGAGGTAATCTAAGAACTAAGACAAGTGACACCCTGAGGAATGTGCAGTATTTTGGGCTGTAGCCAGGGTTTGGTAAATGGTCAGGTACGGCACCCGGGGGTGGGGGTTGGGCCTCGTCAATCACACATTACATACAGAAGGCCTATTTCTATTTTCAAGAAACACACAAACATCAAACATGCTTCTTTTGATATATCAATATTTCTCTGGACACTATTACTGATACCATTCCCTTCATAAGCTGTTTATCATTATTTTTCATTAATGACGTAATGTGAGGCGTTAGTTAGCCTAATCTAGCCTATTAGGCATAATATGAAAGAAGCCCAACCTTTAACATGGCCAGAGTAGCCTAGCCTACACTTATAGTTAACATGTTTCATACATTATCTTTACTCCAGACACTAAAGCAGGTTGATGTTTTGGAACGTTTCGTACAGATAATGATCATTGTTCCATCTTTCCGAATGATATGCTCCCTGCACACCCGCCCTCACAATGCTGCATGGTCACATGCACACAACGTGAATTTGACCTGCTGTCAGCGACTTGCATGCATGCAGATCATGAGTCGCACATGCTCTAGCACGCTGATACTTAATGCTCTAGCTTTTTCTCACATACACACAGCAGACACTATATAATAATATAATAATAACACATTCAAAATGAATTAAGAATGCACTTGGGCCCGGAGACATTTTAAACTGCTGATTTTTTATTCAGGTGAACATTTAGTTTCAAATTTTATTTTTAGCTCTTAAAAAAATGACAAAGGTCTGGACCTTGGTGACCTTGGGATGCTCATCTTCAATAACAAAAAAGAAAACTGTTATAATCTGTTTATAATTGTCTGCTAATGATGTACAAAGTGTTACAGCCTAATTAATAACCTGATTATAAACAATTCATAAACTCTTTATAAGGGTTTTGTAAACTGGTACCGACAGAACTCTTTACCACCATTTATAAGTTCAATCAGTAAATGCCGTAGAAATCTCAGGGGAGATTAAGTAACATCGTGAGTCACATTCCTAAAAGCTTATCGTCTTATCAGATCCACAATCTGTTTTGAATAATGGAAAATAATGTCAATTTAATGTTATATTTAAATACAATCAGTGTTTCTAATCACCATTCTGCATATATATGAACCAGCAACTCTTAATAAATGTACTTCACTGACAGTCATGGTTAGAGTGATAAAGTTTATGGTGATGATGAGAAGGGTGTCCTGGACTGTGTGGTGACAGGTGACAAGCTCGCTCCTTCCTTCCTTCCTTCTTTCCTTCCTTCCTTCCTTCTTTCCTTCCTTCCTTCCTTCCTTCTTTCCTTCCTTCCTTCCTTCCTTCCTGCCTTCTTTCCTTCCTTCCTTCCTTCTTTCCTTCCTTCCTTCCTTCCTTCCTGCCTTCTTTCCTTCCTTCCTTCCTTCCTTCTTTCCTTCCTTCCTTCCTTCCTTCCTTCTTTCCTTCCTTCCTTCCTTCCTTCATTCATGTCCTATCCATACGACATACAAAGGAGAATACAGAACTTCACCCCTCCCCCACATCGGCTATTCTGATCACACCACTGTTATGCTGATATCAGCAAACAGACCAATGATGAAACCAATCAAACCAGTTATGACGCAGGTGCAGTGAGGAAGGTGCCGCCCCGTTCTCCCGAAGTGCCCCAGATCCATGCAGAACGCCCAGAAGCCATTCCAGACCACGGGCCCTTGTTGGAGACAATGACATCACCGAGTGAGGAAGGCGGGCACTGCTGTGGACTCTGATCACTTACCAGCCATTCAGCGCTCGTCAGCTGCGAGGAGCCACAGCGTGACCCCAGTTATTAGCGTCAGAGCCATCAGGCGGAATCTGCTCTCCTCCAGGCGAAAAGGCACCACAGCTGGGAGGCCAGGCTAACTCGGGAGCGCTGTGAACTGGAGGAGCAGGACTGGGAGCGGCTGTGTGAGTCCATATAGCAGGAGGGGCGGGAGATGGAGCAGCTCCGCGGCGAGCTGGGAGCAGAGGCGAGACTGCCAGGAGCGTTTGGCTGAGGCGGCATTATGAGGCTGCGAGACCAAGCTGCTCAGCTGGGAGGAGGCATGTTGTGCCTTAGAGGCCCAGCTACCTCAGAGATGCCGTAAGCTGGAGGAGTGGGGGCAGCAACTGCAGGATGTACTGAAGGAGGGGGTACGCGAGGAGATTGCCTCCTGGAAGAGAGAGCGTGACCTGGAGGAGCAGGTGGTAGAGGCCGTGCTGCGTGACTCCGAGTAGGAGTGTTGCAAATGGCAGGTCTACCTGGCTTAGGAGTGTGTCAAGTTGGAGAAGCATCATCATGCTCTAGAGGCCCAGCTGGGGGAGGAGCACGGTGAGCTGCAGGAGGAGACGGCTGCGCGAGGCCACCAGATCCAAGGAGCAGGAGGGGTAGCAGGTCCCCTCTAAGGCGCGTGAGGGGAAGGTTTGGCAGCCAGGGGGACCAGCCATGCCGGCGACCCCCAGAGGTTAAGCCTCCCCTGCACTTGCAAGCTGTCGGCTCTCCCCGCTTCATCGGAGACACCCCAGCGGCTGCCACTGGACCTTGGGGTTTGTCCCAGAGCTGAGGTAGCAACTGGGGATGGTGATCGCTGGGATGGCTATCCTTTGAGGGCGGGCAGTGTAGTGCCAGCAAGTTGGCTCCGAGTAGCGGTGCCATCTGCAAGTCCTGGCATGCTTTGCGAGCGGTTGGTAAATAGCCTTTGTATGTATTTGCTAGTGTAAATACTTGTTGTGCCGTGTATCTGTTGTGCTGTATTCCCTTGTGTTTATACACGGTGCTTGATTGATCCTTGTGTGACTCTGGCCATTGCGTAATGTCCTACCGTGTGTTAGCCTTCCCGTCCATTACGGGATCCCCCTATGTTTCCATGGTGTCGGAGTATTGTCGTTGCGGTCCTTTTAAGGCAGGGGTCTCCAACTCCGGTCCTGGAGAGCTACTATCCAGTAGGTTTTCTATCCTACTTGACTTCTGATGATCCACACCTGGCCGTGGTATTTACCTGAGAACAGGTGTGGCTCATCAGAAGCCAGGTAGGATAGAAAACCTACTGGATAGTAGTTCTCCAGGACTGGAGTTGGAGACCCCTGTTTTAAGGACTACACTAAGGAGAGCAACTTTGTGTGAAACCTTCTCGCCTTGTCTCCTCTCCGCTGTTGTGTCGCCTCAGTCTGCCAAACAATACAGCATTTAACTGATGTGAACTTTGGCTGCAATGGTAAAGGTGAACTTCAAATGCATGGGGTAACTTGAAATTGCATCATCATGACTGCATTTTCAGTCGAACAGGTGAGCGATGCATCACAGGGGAAAGAATTTGGATGGGGAAGAGATTCGGCATGACAGTTGTCTAAATCCAACAAGTTATCTGGCTAACCCAGAAATCTTGCTTTCCAACTTGCTGTACTGGAAATCAGTTAACTCGGGTGTGACATCATTCCCAGCTCTGACTTCCGAGGTAAATGGAATGCATGCGGCCCAGCGCTAAGGCCACACCCCCACAGGATGACACGCAGCCCTATAAACAAAACCTGCGGCAGGTCTCCCTCACACACTCCCCCAGACAACATCCACATGGAAATGGAGAGCCAGGCCATACAGAATGGGCGCAGCCGGGAGCCACTGGTCGGTAAGTGAAAGCTTGGGGGTTGATTTCCTGGATGTCTGGAGAGTCGGACTAAGGGATAGTCTGGCTGGGACTTTAAATTATGCTTTAGAAAGATGTCTTGGGGCAGAAAAAAAATAGTTCTCAATAAGCATTGGGACTTTTTAAATATCCAGATTCTAAAAGTTTTCTTTAGAGATAAACCTGTTGTGTATACATACGTCTTTCCTTTCATGCCAAAGAACTAAGAGAGAATGACATAGCGGAACAATCAAAGCAAATCCGTCCTGGAAAACAGCAGCTTATTTATAGAGGAACTAGAGACTTTCTATATATTTTATAGTGTATATGTTTACATAAATAACACCATATTCCAACTCATTTTTGTAGATCTTAGCACCTTTATCTCTCAGAATAATTTGTGATGTTCAACAGGTAAGTTTTCAGAATTTATGGAAATTTAAATGAAGAATATACTAATAATACATATAATATGAATTATGACGCCGAATTCAAATACATACATGTATTGGTTGTTCCTTATAGCTATACAGAGCCACGCCACTTAAATCATTATACGCTACCAGAGTGACTTACAACACAGTGGGAGGGAAGAGTCGTGAGTCAAGAGTATTTGCGCAATTAATTGGACACAAGAAACGCCGTGAAGCGCGTCCCGCTTTGCCGGATATAGTGACTCAACTACTCCAGTGTAAACAAACCAAACAAGAAAATCAAGAGTTTCATAACTTTGTATATTACGCCAAGTAGTGATTTTAACAGCTCCCATAGTAGATATCCTTCTTTCAATAGTCGCTTGCTGAATCTGGCAACAACATCACTCACACTTTGTTATGATAGATCAAATCAGTGCTTCGCAACCCGTAGCGAGTGTGCAGATCAGCCCAAGCCAGCGACTCCCAAATCATACATGGCTTTTTCATATTACTTGTGTCGTCATATTGTGGTGTAGGCCTCCATCAGAATCTCCTTTAACCGCAGTTTTAATGTGCTTCTTCTGCACAACAGACACTATTAATAACACATTTCTACTGCATTAAGAATGCACTTGGCCCGGAGACATTCACTTCTGCACAGCAAAATGTTATTTCCTGTTGCTTCACACAATTTTAAGTGGCTTTAGTCTTGTTGGTCAAAATTGATTATGTAGTTTCCTGTTGTAATACTTTCACACAAACTGCTGTGATACGGCATTGTTGTGTTTTTGCTTCACACTGTACAAGCATATTTCATTTTGTTGTTCAATGGAGAAACATGCTTCCTATGATTTTAGTGTTAATATTGCAATCTGCATTCTAGTCTAGGTTGTCAGAATACGCATACGTTCGTTTTATGTTGGTGGCCTTTAGTAATAATTTGGATTTGGCATACATTATTTTTTTCAAACAAACAAAATATATATATCAAAAATTATAACTATCTTTTGCCAGTAAATAATTTGCTTTTCTTGACTCATAAGACATGGATATGCAGACTTTGCTCTCAAAACACATTGTGATGCTTTAGTATTGAACAAGTTCACTCTGGTCCCATATTTACAGAGTTCTTAAGAATAAAACCATATAATAAAAATCACCTCAATTTGTTTAATGCACACAATAAATACAAATAAACAAATATGAATAAACCACGTTAAACTACCATACAAACCCCCACTTCTGATGGCGACACATGGATGGTAGATATTTTCAGACTTCATAGACATAATGCATACGTTGTAGCACTTGGAAGCAATTTTTGTTTGGTAGGAAATTTGTTTGGTCTACTGGCTCAGCCCACATAATAACAATGTGACGTCAGCCTCTCCTTTGGCTTTATTCCTAATGTCTCTGTTATTTATTTTTAAGTTAAAGAATAAAGTAATTGAGAATGTAACACGATGAAATGCATGTATGATTGGAACGTATTTATTTATGTGACACACAGTGGGAGAGCGTGAAAACCGGTAGAGGACATGCTAAAGGAGCATCGAAAATAACGGCTAACTTACATTTTTGTTTTATTATTCATTTTATTTTTTTTTCTTGTTGTGTTTTTCAGAAGAACAAACAGGTGACATTGGTTGCTGTGGGTGGGTCCTGGTGATCTTTTCTGTTATTTTTATGCTGTTCACTCTCCCAGTCTCCATCTTTCTTTGTCTAAAGGTATAGTATCAGCTTTGTTTTGATGGTTGATTAAAATCCTAAACTGAAATCATTGAAATTAAATACATGCATGCCCATACTGCATAGCTAAAACGTCCAGTGACTGATGTCATTATGCAGGTAAATGCTGTCTCTTGGCATACATGCATACAGTTACAGTGTCTTTGAGAGGGCCTGTTCATTCCCTGTCACTATGATTATACTACTCATCATACGCTAATGTTCTTATTCTGTTCTAGATTGTCCAAGAGTATGAACGTGCCGTTATATTCAGGCTGGGTCGCATTACAGACAAGAAGGCCAAGGGTCCAGGTGAGAGGGGCTGGGAGGGGACAGGTCAAGGGACTCTGCTTTTCTCCATGGGATCAATGCCTGTGTCCGTCCGTCCGTCCATCCATCCATCCATCCATCCATC